ATAGCGGTGCTTTGTGATTTTTTTCTACTGGATCATCTGAAAAGGTGAGTTCATAAGCCCTTGGAAGTCCGATAAGGCCGCGATTGTCAACATTATCAAAGTCCCGTAGCCACCAGAGCAAACAACGGGCCAAACTTATAACATCTGCCGTTTTCTCAGGAACGTGCCAAGTCCCCTAATCGCCTACGAACACACAAAAGAGCCATGCGGTGTTCAGAGCGAGATGTGAATACGGTATTTGTACGAGAGCGAGGGAGACGGAAAAGACCGGAACATTACACAAGCCGTCTCGGTTGACGGGTCCCGGACAAAACGAATGGTTCGGGAGCCGATTAAAACCTGCCGTATCGTCGGAATGAATGGAAATAAAATACAGGAGAACACGAACGCCAATAATAAGCCCTGGTTCTGTATGATGATCTAAAATTAAGTTATTCAAGAAAAACACGACTTATATAGCACTTTTGCTGCCCATCCTAAGCGCATGCACATAAATACACCATGCATTTTTTAACCTAGTATGTCAAAACTTCCAGTCTTATTTCTAGAGACGTTATTCAAATAATATCTTTGCTCAAGTATGAACTGAAGCCCGTGATTATCTCTAAATAAGTTTAAATCGAACGTGGTTTCGAAATACGAGCCCCAAAATGACTCTCTCAGGTGCTTTCAGGTGAAACTTGCTTCCAACTTCTGTCTGTATGATTATCACTTTCCATCAAAATACAAGTCTTCCCCGTTGTAGCCAAAAAAACAATGCCATTCCAAATTTTTTCAAGCATTTCATACAGCACCTATGAACCTCCTCTTTTGTCCTCATACTGTTTTTTCCTGTATCTACTTATAAAATTAAGTAAATAATGACTAAAAGGCTCACGAAAAAGCTAAATAACTACGCCCGTATTCACAAACAATATTGAATAGAGCTCTGTGATTGGTTCGTGTGTGACCCTGTGCGTCCACGCGCACTGTAAGACCTCATAGTAATGTATGTGAATACGGGCGTAAGCGACTATAAAGTTCTTTTACCTCCAAAGATGTAACCCTAAAACATAATTGCGTACGACAGAAGAGACCGGGTCGGTATTGGCATAAAGGAGTCGTTGAGGTCGTAAATCATGCAAGGGCAGAGGTCCGGATATTGAGACGTTCGGCAATTTTGTTTTATTCCAAAAGCCACATCAAGTTGATTACACAAAATGGCGGGACTGAGCTCTCCATGCGGTAGAACTACAAAATTTCGGGACTGAGTTGATTTCTCCGCGGCGCCGGTAGAACTTTGTTAATAGTCGGTGTAATATTCACGACTGCTGTCGAAACTGGATCAGAAATGATATCTATTTCACGAGTATTTTGTTAACTATTTGTAATCTTTAATAACAATCGAACCGTGTAATTAAGAAGTATGTGTAAACTGACGTATTCCACAAACTCACTGGCGCTAAATTCTTCTACATTTTTCAAACGAACGAGTAATAAAAGTTGAACGATTATTTAAATTTTTCTTACATTGGTGTGCAAGGTTTAATGTAAGATTTTAGATTACGATTTTAAAAAGGTTTTAATTAAAAAGTAGAGTTTATGAAAACTTTATACCAAAAAGTTTCGCTATATAATTAATTAATCTGATTTTCAGTCCACTTTTACTATTGAATAAAATCTGAATAAAGACATTTTTAAACTTGTGGTTCATTATTAAAGTACCTACAGGTCCTTTAGTATGTAATGAATGTAAACCTCATTTAAATGGCCGATTTACTTACAGGGAATAAGAAAGAAAGAAGAACAGAACATTCGACCTGATTCCGCGCGAATCTTCACAAACTTGAAACTTTGTGACTTGTAAACTTGCAAAACTTACTTTATAACAATGCCTTCAAGAGACGTCCCAAGTTGTAAACTTTGATTCCCCCCATGACTTACAAATCTGTTTCAAATCAACATCATTAACCCCGGTGCACAATGCACACGTGTTTATCATTACCGTTCGTTCATTACCATCCATGTGCGACATGGTAAATATTTACCAAAGTCGGCACTATTGTTTACATTGCTCGGATTGTACAAATGTGCATGTCAATTGAACTTTTTTTCACTTTTAATAGGTAGAAACCTCAGGAACTAAGTCAAATACTTATAACAAATATAAATTATTGTATGTGACAGGCAGGAGGCAAACGAGCAGACGGATGGTAAATGATTACCGTCGCCCATATCGCAAATTCCACAAAGTACCTACGCGTAATAAGGCAGCCGAAATCTTACTGCCAATATTTTTAATAAGGTATTTCTTCTCATCAAAAGAAAACCATTAACGAAGTGATTATTTTTTTCAAACAAAGAATTTTCGTCTTGTTAATTTATTGAGAAGTGTTTTCTTTACCAAATTCTATTCTTTGTTCATTTTTAAGAATGAAAAACCAACCTTTATTACGAATTTAAACAATTAAACAAAAAATAAACAGTGTAGGTTCTGAATTGACATCAACTGAAAAAAAAATCAAATTACTCCAACTACAAAATCATGAATCTAATGAAAATCTCGAAGCGTCTATATTGAAATAAAAATTAACTTTTACTAATTATGATTGTCAATAAATAAACTACATACATAGCCTAAATCTCCTCTCCTCCGTTTCAATCAAAGAATTTCGTTTCACCTAGTTTCCCCTAGCGTGACGCTCAGGTTTGGTCGTTATTGAAATCCTTGGGGAAGTCTTTGTCCAACAAGACAAGTTGAAGATTTCCTTCATCATTTCATAGGACGTCCACTGCTGAACATCGTTCCTCTCCCTCTCATCAACAGCCCTTTCCAGTCCACCACAGGACTATGAGCCTACTGCATTTTAGTGGAGGGTTTTTCTATAATCTCCACGCTTAGCAGGCTAGGGTAAAAAGTAAAAGTAGGGTAAAAAGATTATGAAACATGTAAAGGCTCATTAAGAGCATTATTTTTGAAGATTTGTAAGTACTATTTATTAGTCAAAACAAATAAAGAAATTTTGACTTTGACTTTAGGATTATAGGACATTAGGACTTTAGGCGGGTTGAAGATCGCAGCTTAGAAGATTAATATTTATCAGAGAGAGCTGCTGGTTCTCTTTTTAATGTGTGCCTAGTCCCTAAGTCGCCTCTTACGACACCCGCGAGAAGAGTAGGGGTTGGTGACAAATGTATTCCTCTCCTTACTCAATCTGTATTAGTTTTCAATACGTGCAGCCATCTTAGTTCCAAGTTTATACAGCGCACTGCATGTTTACGGCAACAATGGCTATTACCATGGCTATCTGATCGCAGAGTTTACTCGGAACACCGTGTGATTATTCTGCGGGCATTCTATTTTGCCCAACGCTAGTTAAAATTATAAGGATTTCATAAAAACTTAGGATCGTGGTATTGGACTTGTTTTTTTTTTTAAGTTTAAGATAATATTTAAAAAAGACGGGTTTTTTATTTTGAAAGTAATTCTTATTTTATTGATATAAGACTTAAGCCTTGTCTAAACTTTTGCATTCACTGTAATAAAAAGGGACCAGTTTTTACGGTGTTACACGACTGTAAATATGTCCCGAAATTCAGTTTCATGATCTAATATATTTACCTACCTAAATTGTAGAAAAATATCCGGATTTGAATTTAGGAAAATGTTATAATATAGCTGGACGTGTAGGTAGAATTAAGTTTTTCTAGATTAAATCAAATGACAGCAAAACGTACAATCCACGCTTTAATTTCCACGCGTACCTAACCAACTACATAAAACAACTTTTCCTGTGTACTTCACATGAGAACGTGTCTATTCTCTTGTCATATCACTAGTACATTATCTCGCTACCGTGTCGACACGTATATTTATAGTGCAATGACAGCACTATTAGCCTATCTGTCATCGCGGATAAGGCGCGCCTACGAATGCGTGTGTCGCTTCCACAACACTCCTTCGTTTCTATGCGCGCCTGGTACCACGATCAGGCCATGGGAGACCTTAACCTTCTTGTTTAGTGTATTGGAATTTGGAGGACACTTGTATACGTTCCGATAGTTTATATTAATAAATGATTTGTTTTGTTTACGCTCGCATAATAAATGTCAGTAATTTTAATAGTCATGAAATTAATTTCAGCTGTGTTTGTCAATGAGTTCTCGTCATTGCTTATTGTTTAATAGTAGGAGTGGATCACAAGTATTAAACTGTATAACTGGTATAACCAACATTGTGTTTAGAATAGAGGAAACAGAGATAAAAGTACATAATATTGTAGCCTAAAGTTGACGCACAGTGGCGTACCTACAATGGGGAGGAAAAGATTGTGGCTATTTTTTTCTCATTAATATTTAACTCAATTTCAGATTAATGTAAAAATATTTTTTTTTCTGTAAGGGTTTTCAAAGAGCATTTTTACTTAAAAGAGACTGAAATGTTATATTTTGGCCAATTAACTCAATAATCGTTAAACAACTAGCTGTCCGTGACTTCGTATGTTCGTAGGTAGGTAGGTACGCGTGAAAATTTTCCCGTTTTCCATCAACTTTTATTGAAGCTCTGCTGCTTATAGTTTCGTAACCTTCGTCTCAATGGGCTACCCAAAACAAAAAATATTTATTTAATTTTTAGCGTTAGTTAGTCGTGGGTTCAATTCCCGCCTTAGGCAGTTCGATTTTTTCAAGTTATTTATAATTTTCAAACAAAAAATATTTTTTCAAATCGAAACCTAGTTCCTAAAATTCTGGGATCAAAAAGTCGTTTGAATAGTTACATACAATACTGTTCATATTGCAACACATCTTGGCGCTCGGAGCTGTATGCGTGTGCTTGTAAATATGGCATTGTGTGAAAACGCGACGATGGTCGTCTGAGCAAACATACACTGAGTAACTTAACTCACACATAGCGCCGTGCGCCAAGATGAGTTGAATAACGTATACTCGTAGTCTCGTTCTGACGAAGGCACACGAAGGCGAGCGGGCTTTGCGTGTTGTACGTGTACATGCACATAACGATAGTGTGAGTGTCTGGTAAATCGATCAGTTGCGAGCGAACTGTCGCTCAGGCTACACGTGTTCGTAGTGTTTGCGGCGATAATTACCACGCAGTACCGGCAGCATGTCAAAGCGCAAAGTTTTTAATAGCGAAGTAAGTTACTTGAGTATTATTATTACCAATTAGATTATAAAATTCACAAATCATATAAGATTGTAACACCTACTAGTTAGTCAATAAAAATTGATATAATTCAAATCTTAGTTATAAAAATAGGTTTTTAGATTTTATGATTAAACAATAATTAATTATGGTTATTGATTACTACTTACTTACTATGTACTTATGTTTATTTAAATCGTTTTTTCTGTTGTTTGTAGGGACGAGGAATTATCGCCAAAGTCTATCACTTTCTTCAGGAGGAGTACCAATTTCTGAAAACGCACAACAGTGACAAATGTGATTTAAGTCCTTTGGCGAATATAACTAAGCGCACTGCTGAAGCAACAGGAGCCTCTGAACGAACTATATCAAGGATCTTGAAAGAAGAAAAAGAGCTGCCATCGCCTTCCTCCAAGTTCAGTTCTCCCATGAAAAAACGACGCAAAAGAGACAGCAAATTCGATTTCCGTGGTATGGACTACGACATCATTCGAACTACAATCCAAAGTTTTTATATTGAACACAATGAGAAACCAACTTTGGCAAAACTACAGTCAGTATTAAAGGAAAAGATTGGTTTTGACGGATGTATGAGTACTTTATATTCTTTGCTCAAAAAAATGGGTTACAAATGGAATAAAATTGGTAACACACGTAAATCGTTACAAGAAAGGCACGAAATACAACTATGGCGTTTGAGATTTTTGAAAACAATTCAGCAGTGCCGTTCCAAAGGCCGCCCTATTGTGTACACAGATGAGACATACGTACTAAATAAGGACAAAAGTTTTATTGTAGCACATGCTGGTACCAGTAGTGGTTTTATTTCAGGTGCTTTTTCAGTATACAAAGCAGCAACCACAACTGGAGATGTTAACTTCTACATGAATTTTGATACTTACGTTAAGTGGCTGAATGAGATGCTTCTGCCGAATTTACCAGAAAATTCAGTAATTGTGATGGATAACGCTGTTTATCACAACGCCCGAAGCAGTAAAATACCTACGTTAAATCACAGCAAAGACGATATGCAAAAGTGGCTAAAAGAAAACGACATTTATTTCGATGAACAGTCTCACAAGTTAGAGCTGTACAATTTAATCAAAGAAAATAAAAAGCGTTTTGTGACATATCACATCGACGAAATAGTAAAAAGTAAAGGCTTCGAAATATTACGGCTGCCACCAAATCATCCCGAGCTGAACGCGATCGAAAACATCTGGGATATATTAAAAACTCGGATTGATTGGAATGATGTCGGACAAAACCTGGCTGAAGTCAAAACAGCAATACTTAAAGGTTTGGAGAGCATCGATGCCAACATTGCCTGGCATAACGCTTGCAAACATGTGGAAAAAATTGAAAAAGAATATATGAAATATTATGATTTTGAGTTTGATACTAATTTAGCCTACCAATCAGGTGACAGTGATATCGAAGATTTTCAAAGTGACAGTGATAGTGAGAACGAATACGGAGTAGAAGCCTTATGTGAGTGCAAGTTAGAGTTATGTGAATCTTAAGTATTTCTGGTCAAACGGTCAAAAATACGTTTATATTATAGGTAGGGTAAACCAGAGAGTGATTGCCCACTGGTAGTGATTGCCCGCTTTAAGAATAATATTGTCAGGTGCTGACTTTGAATCACTCTAGTTAGATTTGAATTTACTAAGTAGATGGCTCCGAGATCAATGTACAGTAGATTTAAAATTTACAATAGGAAACACTAAAAAAAAACAGTTATGGCGGATTTTGTCAAGACGGGTGAAAATGTTACTCAGACAGGTAAAGACTTTAACAATTTTACTAAGGAATGACTTGCTTAGAGGTTAATTTTTTTTTGCAAGTTATTTAATATTCAACTAATGGTGTATAGTCATGACGAAATTATAAGTGTTTTCTCCATTATCAATGAAAATAACTGATAAAATTTGATTTCTAAGGGTCATTTTAACGGTGGGTAATCACTGCACGTAAATCTGTATATTTTTAGTTATTGCCCACCATCATTTCAGTTATTGCCATATGTTAATGTATAGTTATTGCCCAGGGGAATTATTATTAGAGTGTTGCCACCATGCAGTAGCAGTGTTTAAGTTGCTCATTGTTTTGCAATTTACAGGCATAAATATTGAAATGGCTTTTAATGTTTCATTTTCAGTATGCCAAAGACTCCAAAAGTTCAATATAGCATAGAAAATTTGCAAAAAGCGATCGAAGCTGTACAAGATGTATCCAACAATTTATCTACAAGATAAATTGCTGAAAAATATGGTTTGGCTTGAAAAACTTGATAAAAATTCAAACGCAAATACAAAAAATGAAAATCCTACGTTAAATCTACTAGTGAAAATGTTAATTGTAAGGAAATAGATACAACTTTAGGGAAGAATAACCAACAGCTAATTGAACATTCTGAGCAACCACTTGAACTGATATCAAAGAAGATAAAAAAATAAATACATAATATAAAATTTACATATAAAATTCAAAATTTTGCGTCATCTATGTTTTGAATTAGATGATTCTGTCTCTACCGATTCTTACTCATCAACATCTGCTCAAGAAATATTTGATAATATGTTAATAAGGCCAAACGCAATTTATTTTGAAATTTGGAAGACTGTACTACTAGAATTTAAGTTTAATGTTTTGTTTTGTTCATTTAAAGCCTATTTTGTCACTTTAAAATTGATTATTTTGTTTTAAGATACTGGGCAATTACTGTGCTTTGATGTGGGCAATTAGTGTGAGTAATGGGCAATGACTGTACTTTTTGGAGGATTTTAAATTTATTTCAATATTTTCTAAGTTACGTAAGTTTTAACTTAAAACTGTTAATATTCTGTTTAACAGTTTATTGAGTTATAAGAAAAAAGTCATAAATGGTCGATAATTAAAATACTTTCTTTAATCTTTCATCTCAATGTGTTTGAAATCTTTAAGTGGGCAATAGCTATACGGTTTACCCTACTTACTTTTATTAATTTGTAGTAATTATGTATTTACTTGATTAAAATTATACGAGTAAATCAAGTCAAACATTGTCTCTTTATTTTATATGCTAACCATACTCGTAGCGCGCCAAGATTAGTTGAAATACATAGGTGTAAAGTCTACTTGCCTTCGTGAATTGAAAGAAATATAGATATCTGAGCAACATTTACTAGAAATCAACAAAAGAAAGTTCATTATAAACGCCATCCATCTAAAACTTCTCTTTAGTGATTTTAAAATGAAAACAGATGCAATATCTCGTAAAGTGCATGATGCTAAGTACAAGTACAGTCTCGTCCATGCCAAGCTTGACATTTTCAACGTGGCCGTACGTATCAAATCTTTGCATTTTAACAACAAAAATCGACCTAAAAACGTTAAGCCGCTGTGCATGACTATACCCTCGTGGCGCGTACTAATGGCTATGCTCGGGTCGACGCCCGTGCGAGCGAGACACCCGTAACGGAATACCTGTGGAGAGAAAGGGATGTGAGATCTCGTGGTACTGGTAAATACGGCCATAAAGTAGGTAAAACTCGGTGTGTGCTTTTTGTCCGAGTTGATTGGGAGAAAATCTGTTGCTCAAGATTTAGCGCGTTAAAGTTTGTTGAGGATTTGGGAAAATATTTGAGCGACATTGGGGTTATTTCTTTCATTATTGTTGAACATCATTTGGTAGGTACCCATGTTTAGTTTGGAATGACAAATGAATATGTTCTTACTATGATCAAATCATCGTCTGTGTGTTTATTATTTTCATTTTCTCACTTAAACTTCAAAGCTAGAGAGCACTATAATGTTTAAATTGTCACCTTTATTAGTGAAGTGAATCGAGCCTACTTTAAAGTAGGTCCTACTAGGACCTAGGACCAAGCACCATAACATTGCCTTTATCGCAGTTAACTAGATGGGGATAAAAGAAATTAATGAAAGAATCTAGGCAATTTGCAGTTATTAATCTCTCAGTCTCAAATTAAAAGCATATGAAAATTTCTCACCATGTAATTTTTGTTTTACGGCTAAATAACCTAAACGATAATGCTTCATGCTAATTGGTCCTATCATTTTTATCAGCCCTAAATGTATGTGTGAATGAAAGCCATGTACAGACGACAGCACATCAAGCTAAGTAAGCACTGTGGTATCTTATGTCCATTCAAGAAGTGCTATTTTGCAACAGAAATGATAGTCTGACGTGCGGTTGACTGTACCTAGCTCTGTGGGAGGGAGGGCCGATAGTATCAGGGCGGCACGTGCCGCGATGCCGTGAGGTCTCTCACTCACTGTCACTGAGGGCAGAGGGCTGCGGTTGTTGGATAGTAATGAATTAATAAAATAGCCTGGGAAATTGCCAGATATTTTCCCTTTCAAAGTTACGCTTGTACTATGACATGACATGACATGATACATTCCAGAACCTTCTGAATAAGAAGCGTAGCGTAGGTAGATAGAGGACATCGTAAAGGTTGCAGTAAGGCGCTAGATGAGCCGGCCAATTTGGAAATCAACAAGTAATTGACGAGGCCTAAAATCAGGAATGGTGGTTATGTGGATGAAATTTTAATAATGATGATGATAAGAAAACACCCTTAATAAACACTAAAATACGGTCGTCTTTGATGAATCCGCGACAGCAGGTAAAGTAGTGCGATACGTGAGAACCACCAGGCCAAGTGAAAATCAAAATATAGGGATTGGACAGATTTTGGCTAGGAAAGCACTTCTTTAAGGAAAACATCTCAAAATTATACGATCAACAAATTCGTCTGCTTCTCTCGGTAATTGAAAAGGCTTAGCGACCAACAAGCACATCAAAACAGCCTGTCTAATTCCAATAGAAGTCTTTAACGTGAACCTTTCTGTAGTAATCTATAAGGGTAGTATTGAATTACACTACGCAGACACGAGTTACTCATTAAAGATATTTGATACGGATATCAATATTATCAATACACGGTGTTGAGGCTGCGCTATTATTTTTTGCACGAGGCTCGAAGGCTTTCTATTATGTAGGTAAGCATAGTAAGCACGTACTCACTTAAGGTTCTGTTCTGGTAATCTAGTTATACACTGAACATAATTATTTTGTTATAAGAGTAAATGAGCAGTATCAGATGAGATTAAGTAAATAATTACCATATTATGCTATGAGTATGGTTACACTGTTAATGTTTACAATCGTCATTTCAGGCATAGGACGTCCACTGCTGAACATAGGCTTCTCCCAATGACCTCCACATTGCACGGTTGCAATCCATCCAGCGCCTTCCTGCTACCCTTATCAGGTCGTCGGTCCACCTTGTGGGTGGACGTCCCACGCTGCGTTTTCCGGTACGTGGCCTCCACTCCAGAACCTTGCTGCCCCATCGGCCGTCAGTTCTGCGTACTATGTGCCCTGCCCATTGCCACTTCAGCTTGCTAATCCGTCGGGCTATGTCAGTGACTTTAGTTCGTTTACGTATCTCCTCATTTCTGATTTAATCTCGTAAAGAAATACCGAGCATAGCCCTTTCCATGGCACGCTGTGCAACTTTGAGCTTCTTTATGTTTACAATAAAAGGATACAATTAAAAATACAAAAGCGGCAGTACTCCGTTATCCGTAATTATAGCTATGTAGTTAAATTTTTCATTAATATCTAACAACTAATCAGTAAATGAACTAAGAATTTATAGAGGCTCGGTTCTAATAAGTATTACTGTCTGGAAAGTTTACAATAAAGAAAGAAAGGTGTAATCGATAAGGTATTGCGGTTCGACTTTGGAATCAAATTATCTATCAAGTATTTGCCCTTGACCTTCTCAAGTATTTATTTATTAAAGTATGTAGACGAAGCCTTACAATGGGTTATTGAAATTCAGCGAAGCTTATAAATAGGAGCCCTTTTGATCTGTTTATTGGAAAATTTCAGCAATATCTCATTTCATTTTCATATAATGAATGTCATTACTTTGATCTATATTAAGTTACTTAATAAGCAATGTCATCTGTATTTTTATACCTTACTAAGACCTCTGCTATAAAAATTCAACTAGTACTCCTAAACCTCAATGGGCATAAATTCTTGATTTGTTAGTTTTTACAGGAAATAAGACACTAACTTTCTTTTTCAACGCACGCGTTTTTTCAGCCACTTCTACTTTCTACTTTTTCTTCACTCTACTACTATACCCATCGAGTTAAGCTCATGATGAAACAGATATAGAATAGATGTGTCTATGAAACCAAAATTAATTTACTATCCCTATTCTATAGATTCCCGCCTACGATTGTTGAATTTAGAAGTTTCACAGACCAAAACTTTAGTTTGAATCTAGTCTGTTCTAAGCTTTGTTTCATTCATAATAGGTAATTCAAAACCTTTAGTTAGTTGAAGGTGATTTTAGGAGTTGAAGAGTTGTCTTACAAACGTTGAGGAAAATAATACATCAGATTCATTGAATTAGATATATTTTTAAGACACTTATTTATCAGAAAATCCTACATACGGACGACGGTACATCAAGGTAACATTACGGCTCTTATAGTTATTGTAATAGATTCGATTTTGCAACAGAATTCGTCTGTATGTAGCTACTACGATAATGTTTCGGAAAGGGTTAATTTATCTATGTTTACGTCTTTATAAAGATAGAAAATTGAAAAATAATCACATTTTAAAAAATATACTAATATTTAGGTGTACCTACTACAAGTCATAAAAGATATTTTAAAATACTCATAATATACATTTATGAAAGTAGTATTAGAACAACAATCAAAGAATATAAAAGACATTGAGATTGAATATTATTACATGCTATACATTGAATATTATTAATAAGTAATACACGCGTTATCACTATAGTATTACTATTCTTACGTTACAGTATTTTGAAAACAATATAAAAATAAAGAGATTTGATCAAATTACGATAGTGCTATTATTATTAATTAAGTCAATCATTATACATTATTCATTACAATAATACCGGCATTCGGTAGAATTCGAATTATTTCAAAGATGCATTACGCAATAACGTAAGTACAGTTTCAGGCGGTTAAAAACGTTAAAATACTTAATTGAACCATACCTTTAATAAAATCACTTACAATCACTCACGCAGCTTTATTAAATCTAGAATTCTACCTAGTCTTAAGTCTAGAAAAGTCTAAAAAACTTGATACGGATTCAATTATATTGAGACTCACACAATATAAAATTCTATGCATAAACTACGAGTAGATTCAATTTGAGCGAATTCACAATTTAATAAAATATGAAGTCTGTTTTTGTTATCCACAACGGGGAAATTCTTGACTTACGTCACTCACTCACCTGATGGACGGTGATAATCTTTCTAAAGAGGATCCCCATAATCCGCAACCACAGTGCAACTGTCTTATCTTCAACTGCCGATACATAGACAACGCTGTTACCTTTTTTGCGCGAGATTTGGGAAATATTTAGTAGTAAGGCTATGTTAGTCTAAAACTCTAAAGTCCACATTTCAAAAATACCGTGTGGAGCAAAAGACTTACGAAATATTTAAGTAGTAAGATTAAGATAGCCTAAACTGTAACTAAAGTCTAAATTACAGATTTCGAGAATACCGTGAGGATCTTATAAGTAGTTACAGTCTACAATGTGAGAATGCGCGTGATTCTTAGAAGGAAAAGCCCCTCAACCTTACTCCGAGGAGTTGGCTGAGAGACTTCGACGCCGCTATCCGGAGATGATGTTGACGTCTTCCTCCTCTCCAACTTGCAGGATCGCCTTCTGAATCATGCGCTTGAGCTTCTTCCGAGACTCGTCAGATCGCAGGGTGCGCAGTTCCGAGGCTACGAAGTCGCCGAATATCTATACGAAAAGAATAGAAGTTCAAAATTCAACACTACGACTTTTTAGAGCTTCAAATGCCAACGCTACGCATTTTGGGAATTATTTTTTAGTGTTGATAAGCTGTCACAAAATGTTATAGGGGTACCTTCGGGATGCCTTTAAGCTTATCAAAATGTAAAGAAAAGTAACATCGTGTTCTTGTGACACTAATGCTGACATTGTCACAAAGGCTTATTAAGTGTACTGGCATTATTTTGCCGTGCGAAGTTATTACGTTATTGCGTATTCGTATTACGTATATCAAACTTCAGCTTTTTCTATGAAAATGATATCGGAATTTTTTGTGCGACACTTTTATATTATGAGCGAGACTTTTAGAAAGTATTGGAAAATTCTAAATACGGTCCCAAGCGGCCGCCAATTTCTGTTTTAGCAAAGAAATAATTTATTTGCGAAACGCGTTATTCTATTTAGTTGGATACAGTGACGATAATAATATTCTATTATGCTGAGGAGTTTGTGTTGTTTAGTGTACAGAAACAAAAATAGATTTAGAGAAACTACCTTGATTCCTCATATTCACTTTCCTTTTACGATTAGATAAGTTAGTGCTAGAAGTTAGCGTTTTATTGTTACTAATTGAAGGTTTCTTAGTCCTTCTAAATCCCAATCCCAAGCCTTCAAGAGTCACTCTGCTGAAAAATATTAACCAATAACATACCTGACACTCGTCAGAGCTGAGCCCTAGTCTCAGCCTAGGCACGGCTTTCTCCGGCCACGTCATGAGAGAGTGGGCATTAGTCGTTTTGTTGGTTCCCAGCCTCCAAGAGTCAACCTGCTAAAAATAATAACCAACAATATACCTGACACTCGTCAGAGCTGATGCCTGGTCTCAGCCTAGGGACGGCTTCCCCGGGCCGTCTCATGAGCGGGCGGGCGTTAGTCGCTTCGTTAGTTCCCAGCCTTCAAGAGTCAATCTGCTGAAAAATAACAACCAAAAACATACCTGACACTCGTCAGAGCTGATGCCTAGTCTCAGCCTAGGCACGGCTTCCTCGGGCCACGTCATGAGCGGGTGGGCGTTAGTCGCTTTGTTAGTCACCAGCCTTCAAGAGTTAACCTGCTAAAAGAAATAGTCAAAAACATACCTGACACTCGTCAGAGCTGATGCCTGGTCTTAGCCTGGGCACGGCTTCCTCGGGCCACGTCATGAGCGGGCGGGCGTTAGTCGCTTTGTTAGTCCCTAGCCTTCAAGAGTCAACCTTCTAAAAGAAATAGTCAAAAACATACCTGACACTCGTCAGAGCTGATGCCTGGTCTCAGCCTGGGCACGGCTTCCTCGGGCCACGTCATTAGCGGGTGGGCGTTAGTCGTTTTGTTAGTTCCCAGCCTCCAAGAGTCAACCTGCTAAAAATAATAACCAACAATATACCTGACACTCGTCAGAGCTGATGCCTGGTCTCAGCCTAGGGACGGCTTCCTCGGGCCGTCTCATGAGCGGGCGGGCGTTAGTCGCTTCGTTAGTTCCCAGCCTTCAAGAGTCAATCTGCTGAAAAATAACAACCAAAAACATACCTGACACTCGTCAGAGCTGATGCCTAGTCTCAGCCTAGGCACGGCTTCCTCGGGCCACATCATGAGCGGGTGGGCGTTAGTCGCTTTGTTAGTCCCCAGCCTTCAAGAGTTAACCTGCTAAAAGAAATAGTCAAAAACATACCTGACACTCGTCAGAGCTGATGCCTGGTCTTAGCCTGGGCACGGCTTCCTCGGGCCACGTCATGAGCGGGCGGGCGTTAGTCGCTTTGTTAGTCCCCAGCTCAGATCATAGATGATCTGAGGTCCCCAGCCCTTCAAGAGTTAACCTTCTAAAAGAAATAATCAAAAACATACCTGACACTCGTCAGAGCTGATGCCTGGTCTCAGCCTGGGCACGGCTTCCTCGGGCCACGTCATTAGCGGGTGGGCACTTGGGGGCAACGGAGGGGGCGCAGAAGCCGCCACGCGCAGCCTGCCACGAGGCCTGGCGGGGGGGCTGCCAGACTCCATGGCAGCTGCTCGAGCAGCAATCCCAAATTCTTCTTCTTCATCAGCTTGGAATTCGGCGAGCTGTAAAAAATGCTCGTTAAAATGTGCAAAGAAGGGAATCGTAAGTTGGTTCGATCCTAGTAAAAATTGTAAAAATACTCATACTTGTTCATGAAAGGTTTGAATAATAAAATTGGGATGTTTGTTACCTGGAAACAAAAGCATACACTTGTTTCCAAAAATTATACGCTAACTTAACTTCTGATAGATTTAGGTAACCTAGATAGTTTCGTTTTTGTAAAACTTAAACTGTGTAAGCATAAATTAATTATGTAAATCCATAAGGATACTTAAGGATTAATAAACAACAAAAATTCGCAAAATAAATACGCAAAAATAAACAACCAAAATAAATGATGTTAAAAATAATTTGAAAGAACGCAGGTAGGTAGTTTACCGCTCGCTCGACGCCTCCTACGCCGTTATAAAATAACCTTAAAAAAGCGCTTCAAGTTAATGCCAATATTACCAACAATAAATAAATATACGCTCCAAATGAAAGGACTTTCAAGTCAAAGTACGTAAGTAGTAAATTACTACTAGTAACCAACGATTTACTCAAAAACAATAACTGATGAATTGAAAACAAACCGCTAAATTGACTCCTTCGATGTTGTCTTCCATCGCGATCGGCTCCTTGACGAGGAAAGAGAGGGCATCAAAATACTCCCAGCCGCTTCCCCCCGCGCCCCCCTCCGGGCACCCTGACGACTGACGACGCTTTATTTTTCTCAACTCATTGTTCAACTGCGTCCTCAAATTATGAATTTTCCTGCTTATTTCTTCAGCTGTAGTCCCAAACATACAAGCCAAATACTCGTGCTTCGATTGTCTCGATATTCTGTCTCTGTTTAGCGGGTGTCTCACATCCCACAGCTCGCGGCAATCCTTTTCCAGAACCTCAATCAATCGTATGGTGTTTTCGGAGTTCCAAGTAATCTTGTCACGTTTCTCTCTTTCTGTCTCCATATCTAGTTCTAATTTCGGCCAACACATCTCCGACGAGTTTGAATTCGAGTCCATTGTGAGATTCGTGTGTCGCGTTGCGTCACAGAGCGTTAATGAATCGGTGCGCTCTCGAGGTCGCTCTAGCGAGACTGAGGGGCGAGGCGGCAGAGAGCGCGACACCGGTGTCGGGCAGAGCGGCAACGTCGCGCTCGAATCTCGCCACAACACGCGCTTCGCGAGGGCTGGCAACGCGCGCTAAGTTCACGCTAAATGCGCAGCAAAAGTGCAAACTTACCACATTAGCGCTAGTGTTGCCAGTGTAATTAATTTTCCACTATAAGTGGTGGCATAATAAATTGGTCTTTCTGCGGGAGAATTTAGCAGGGGTTGTTACTAAGCTTACGAGCTTTTTCCCGTGGTTTCGTCCAGTGTTCAGTAGTTCTTGCGTGAAAAAGTAACAAACATCTTGGCATCCTCCTCACTCACAGATTCTCTCATTTACAATAATAAATTACCTACAATACAAAGAAATATTAAGTAATATTATTACTTACTTCAGGTTTGTGTTATAAAATATTTTTGTGCCTGACAGGCACACAGTGACACAACACACTCCTACTATTTTGGCTCGATTTACCTAAATCTTTACGAAAACGAATTATCACCTTTTATTAAAGAAACATTAACAAATCCAGTAACGTGATTTTTACTAATTTTATTGGTAACCAGAAAGTAGGTTTAATCGTAGAATAAGTAGTTCTGTTTAACGCAAGAAGCTGGTAACACTGATTAGCGAAGATTAGCAGGTCGCATTAACCACATTAACAGAGGAAGCTCTGTGGTTAACCTAGTTTGAAGATAAGTGGGTTATGTTATGATGGTGTAGACAACAGTAAAGTTAGATAGTTACTTAAAGTATACCTAGTTAAGTTATGACAGATTGTTATCTACCTTTATTTTTCTGAAAAATCTTAAGGTCCTCTCCACCACCCCCAAAAAAGGCTGTAGTACAAATATTTAACAAAGAAGGAATTAAGTAGGTAACTGTTTATGAAAATCGGTGACAAAAATAAAACAAATTCAAAGATGGAGCCCAAAATCAACGATGGATCAATCTGGATGAGAAAAACTATAGTACCTAATAAAAGATAAGTTTGAGAGACCCAGGAAAAAAACATAGGATTGAAACTAAACTCAAAATTCAATAATAGGTCTAAAAATGTTTTTTTAATTCAAAATTAGGTTCCTTTTTAGAGGTTTTCTTTGTAAAAAAACCTTTCATTTGACCCGTCAATATTTTCTTTAAACATCTTACTTACCTACACGGTGGCCAAATGTTAACGAGAATAGGTAGGTAGGTACAGTATCGATTTGATTATGCATTTGATATAACTTCATAATTTTTTTCTGAACACTTCTTCTTTAGGATCTCCATTAAAGATAACTTTCAAGAGTCTTCAAGTTCGACCCTTCTCCTAAAATGCTGTACCCGACATACAGGGTCCATAACTCACTCCATAATAATTGTATCTAAAATAGTAAATTGGTGGGGGCACTGCCGTGCCCCCAGATAAGCAACTTTGCAACATTATGGATGCAATAAATAACTGTGGCCCTCAGCAAATCTTCTTACGGATAATTTGCATAAATCATGACTAGACCAAAAGGCGTTAATCCTCCAACATCGTCTCACCTCCACATTAGCGATGCCATTTTAATTGGGTGTCGGCGCGGGCGCAGCTCGCGTTGCGCCGATCAATTGACCGGCTAATGTGGGCACGCGCCGCTTTTGTATGTCCGACCATATGAAAACGCTTTGGCAGGGTTGAAACGTTTGAACTGTGAATGTTTTATTACTAGAAATATGTAGGTACCAACTAGGAATGAGAGAGATACATAGGCCCGGTTTGATAATTTGAGCGTGCTCATCTTCAACTCACGTTATCACGTATGAAAAAAGTTTATATGTACCTACTTGATGATGAGCGAGCACGCTTCAATAGCCGGACCATAATTTGGGGGCTATACTGGCATTTCATTTTCAGTGTGACGGATGGAAGCATTCGAAATTTCATTACCTAAGTGTCGAATAAACATAGCCCGCTGTTGTACAGACTGTTTTGGCATGACCAAAATGGCACCAAGCACTAGTTCAACTACTTAAGATGGCGGATTTAGCGTGATGTGCCAGTCCAGTGTCCAGAAGAAAATATCCTTGGATTCGGTCTGCCGTTTCGAGGGTCCCACCCATTTTCCATCCACAAATACAGTATACCTATTATATGTTTAGCTGGAGGGGCTATTTGTATCACACAATTTTTTGCCCCCAGTGAGACTCGAACCTGCAACCGCAGCTGGCAAGACATTGTATTCTGCGAACACAAACAAGTTAGTGAAACGGGTTGCGACAACCCTACAGGACTTCAAAGCGGCTTCATCAAATAAGACCTTACACATGAGCGCGGTTTTTGTTAAAGTGTACAGTCGACAGCACGTCAACGTAAACACTGTGGTATCTTACGTAGTTGCGATAAGGGCGACTTTCCAACGAAAATGTATAGTCTGATGTGCTGTCGTCTGTACACTGTACATCGTCATAAATCTGCGTACGAATAGGAACATAAAAGCGATGCAATGCATTATTGATGCGTCGGCAACGCAATCGGATAGAATGCTGAAATTTTAACTTTATTTGTATGGTAATAGGACTCACTAAATGATCGATTGCTGCTCTTTTATTACGACGAGTTAAACTGCAATTCTTCATTAGTCTAGTAGGTACCTGTTAGTAGCTTATTTAGTTATTTCATATTAGTGAAAAATTAAGGGGTATTTTTTGGCCTTCCTGATTAGTATTTAGCCAAGACTGTTGGTATGTGCTATTTTTATCCTTTTAGCTTTAGTATTGTTAAAATCAAAGGTTCCATAAAATTCCAAATAGTATTTTTTATATTATGTAGTTTAAAATACAATGAATGAATTCTAAAATCTTTGACATTTTATTAGGAACGGTATACCTACGTAAGTAATTCTAATTTAAAAGACTTATGCCCGTTTTCACCATCAATCGCTAATTTTTAAGTGACCCCAATGGTAACACATAACAGGAATTTGTTTACATAGGTAGGGGTCACTTAAAAATTAGGGATCACTTCGCAAGTATGAATTTAGATCTGTCCCAGAAAGACTATTATTATGCGCGAGCATGCCCTTTCAAAAATCGGGATAAAACCCTGTTCTTTCCTGGATCACAAACTGAATTGGTTCAGTGGTTCACGAACATCTTATTTTTTTATTTTCTAACAGATGAATTTCATTTTTATCTCGATTATTATCACTTTTCCTCGAAGGTGTTTCTAATAATTTACTAGGCATTCTTATCACTTTTACTCGGGATGTTAAGGATATGTAGTTTCGGTTATGGATACGGTTACGGATATTGGAATAATATTATACCGGTTTCGGTTACGGATATTTTTTTGTTTCGGTTATCCGAAAGTTTCGGTTATGGTTACGGATATCTGTGCTAAGTATAGAATGCAATAGTGTAGATTCCAATAGTTGTCCAACACAGTTCATGCCTTACGAATAGAATGGGTACAGAAGAGATTTCTTGGCATCTCATCATCATCATTTCAGCCACAGGACGTCCCCTGCTGAACATAGGCCTCCCCCAATGACTTCCACATCGCACGGTTGGTAGCGGCTTGAATACAGCGCCTTCCTGCTACCTTTATCAGGTCGTCGGTCCACGCTGCGTTTTCCGGTATGCCTTGGCATCTTTTGGTCTCACAAAAAAGCTTATGGGAAAAAATTCATGTACTTCAAAATGCAATCATTAAATCAGCGTAGGGACTTGTTTGACTCTGCCTACTTTCGAAACTTTCCGAAACCTTTGAATCGGTTATGGTTACGGATATTTTTTTATTTCGGATATCCGAAAGTTTCGGTTACGGTTACGGATATCCATAACATCCCTGCCTTAAACCTGCCTGCAGTCACCGACCTTTGTCTTTTGGGTCACAATAGCTACAGTCTGGAGTCTAGACTTCCGATTCCAGTCACGTTTGAGGCTGAATGCCTAGATCAGTGCCTACATCTAGAATGGCTATGTGGCCTCCAACTTTGAAGCATTACCTAGTAGGTATACCTAGCCCTATAAATTACGTTGAGGTGAATCTATCGTAAAGTTTTATTTGCTTTTTGTTACAATATTAACGTGGGTTTGACATAATTATTGAATGAAAATTTTCCTAATTGTACAAAAATTCTTGTAATCTTACCAAATACACTCGTATTTAACTAGGTATGATAATATGATACACGATTATGACAATTTAGAGGAATAACATTTATTAAATATACTTAAAGTAAAATTTTGCATGCTAGGCAAATGGGTTCAAAAAGACCTCAAAAATAGGTTTTTAGATTCAACATGTAATTTAAGACCTTTATGGAGCGGCTAAGCCAGATTTAGTTCAAAATTAATTTAGACCACTTGATGCTTTATTACAACAGCGTATTATTATGGGGTCTCATGAAATATTAATATGATACCATTTGGATCTCGATACCAAGTATGGCATTAAAATCGATACCATCAAAGGATATCCGTAATTTCTGTTTTGGCTCGTTTAATCTTTGAAGGATTGTAATTACAAAAAGTCCTCAATCGTGCAAAGCCGCAGCTTGTATATTAATTAAAATGCCCGTCGAGACGTCATGAGGACTGAGGACCGCGCCGGAGGGAGAGGATTAATATCTAAATAATGATCCGACTCCGCCCCGCCCTCGTGAGGTACTGGCTGCATCAAAAACGATAGTTTTTTTTTACTTTTTATTAGTTTCTGATCAAAATTTCGTTTTTTTTTAATAACATACCAGTATTAGCCAGTGTCAAGTGATTACAGAGACACAAGTGCATTAAATTTGCCAGGTGTGATTTGGGTTGTTGACATCATCATTGAGGGCTATCGTTTTAGCGCTCACCAGTTAGCGCCACTGTAGAGTAAGGTCCTGTCACTTGCTAGTAGCGAAGACAGTGGCGCCAACTTGTGAGCGCTAAAGTGGTAGGAGGACTATCGTATTTGCACTCATCAAGATGGCACCACTGTAGAGTAAGGTCCTGTCAATCGCCAGAGGTGCCAACTGTTAAGTATAAAAACGATAGCCCTCATTGAGATGATTTTTTAAAGTG